TGTTTCATGATTTCGGGGTGCATGGGTGGGAACTTCCAATGAGCTCCAGGATGACAGGGCTTTCGATTTGGGGGTTTTGTCTGCACACAGCTAAAGCCCCAACCTGCAAAGCGAACTGGGGGTTTTTAATGATAGGTGTTGCCTGCAGTCATCACTACTGCTCATGTCTCTCCCATCCTGATGGAGCTTAACAGGTTGCAAAGCATTTCCTTTCATTTCATTTTATCCTCTGTGTGCAGTAAAGCTTTGTATGAGTCATTTTTGTAGAGAGGAGACTGAGTTTGAAAGAAACTCTGCATTCCGCATCCCTCTCCACAAGATCACAGAGCCTGACAGTGCCCCCCACTCCTTCCTGGACGGCCAGCTGAGGGAGTGTTGCACCTACTGCTCACAGATGGAGCACAACACCAGTTTCCTGGGCTCTGAGAACTTCATGCCAGTCCTCACCTTGCCATTCTGAGGTTGTGCTTGCTGCCTGTGTTCCCCACTGACTGTGGTCCTCCCTCCTGAGAACAGGGACTGTCCTGTCTCTCGGCGCCCCATGACCCAGCATGGTGCCTGGCTCAGCTAGGAGCCAGATGATGTTTGAACATTAACACCGGCATCACCACCATCCTCTCCACCTCATCTGCTTCCTCACCTCTTCCCCTACCTTCCTTCTCCCCCTAGTGATGCTGATGGACTACGGTTTGGCAGTTAAGAGCTCAGCTTCTGGTCTCAGGCAAACTCTGCCCCTGCAATTTGCTGCCTTATTCAGTGTGTCCAAGACTCACTTTCCACATCTATAAAATGGGAGTGATGGGGAGGCAACTCTTTTAGCCCAGAGTTTGGCACAAAATAGGCATTTAATAAATAATGTCTGAAATGTTTATGGTGGTGATGATGATTCACTCTTGGACATGATTTAAAGGTTGAAAGATTGATTTCAAGTGGCAAGTGGGTCACTGTCTCCTCCTACCAGATAGACGTGGCATCTGGTCTCCTCCACTCACTTAACCCTGCACCTGCAGGCGCCTTCCTGGGCTTGGGGTGGTGTGGCCAGGAGTCCAGGCGTCTGAGTGAGGCATGTCAAGTGCTTGGCATCTTGTGGGCGCTCAGGAGGCATTAGCTGTTGCTCCAGTCCCCAGTGTCACCACTACTCTTCTTTCCCATCCCTAGCCTCCATTTCCCAATCTAGGCTTCACAGCCACCCCACAAGTGACCAAGGCCCAGTTCAAAGTGTGTCCACTCCCACCATCTTGGAGACTGTCCTTAGAAGAAAATTCTCGGAGGCTCCCTTCCCCAGGACAACACCAGGGTCCACAGTGCCTGGGGGAAGCCTCCGGGAAGCCCCGCCACATTCCACGGTCCAGGTGCCATCACAGCACAAGTCCAGGTTAACTCCCTGGGGGAGACAACTGGTCCTGGAGGCTGCCGCCCTCACCTGCCCCAGCGGGCTGGTGATAGGACCAGTGCTGGGAATTCAGATCTGACCCTGTTCTGCCACCAAGTGGCTCTGTGGCCTTAGGAGCCCTGACAGGTGTAGAGAGGAAGACCACTGAGAGCACAACGGTGGGAGAATCGCTCCCCTCTCACCAGAGGCACCAAAGTCTTCATCTAGATCCCCAAAAGGGTCCCCGCCCTCCTCAGGAGGCCTGGTGTTGCCAGGCCCAGGCCCGCTTCCTCCTTCCTTCTGTGCAGAACTGTCCAGCACCCTCCTTTTCTGGCCCGTTTCCACCAGTGGGAGGGACAGATGCTCCCTAAAAGATTCCAAAATGTCCCCCCTTCTCCTCACTGGCTGTCCAGTCCCGAGGAAGACTCACAGCCCACTGACTCAGAAAGACCAAAGCCACCCACTTGTACCCCTCCTGCCCTAGAGCACCCCCAAATCAGCCATGCACACATATCCTTCAGACTTTGTAGCTGTTTTTATTATTAATATTATCTTCTCCTTTAAGCATCCCTTTAAGGGTGAAATGAAATCCAACCATTTACAGAGAAAATGATTTCAGAATGTACATATTGATTTTCCCATACAAAAAAAATACTATTATTATTATTGGTGTCCTTAAATTATACATTTTCCAGGGCCCTGCCTGCTGCTTGGGCAAGTCCTGTCTCCCCACCCCAACTGTCACCTTTGCCCCCAAAGCTCTCCCACGCCTGCCTGTGGGAACCAACATGACCCGAGGGTGGGCTGGGCCTCCTTGAGTTTGGAGGTCATAGGGCCAATGGTTCCCAGGGAAAGAAAGCTGGCTATGGTGCTGGCCAGCAGTGCACTGGTGCTCACATTCACAGCTTGGTCTCCCTTCATCCTGGGGGAGTGGCCTGGGGCTTCCCTGCCCCCGATATTCCCAGTGTATGATGTGATTATAAGTGAAACTCTTCAACCCCATGCCTTGCCCCGCCACACAGCTGTCCTCTCCACTCCATGGCCAGGCCTCCACTTGGCACTGACCATAAACGTGCCTGGCCCTCCTGGGTCTGAGAGGGAAGGTGGGGCCTGGCAGTTCTGAGCTCCTCCCCTCTTCCTTCCCCTGCCCCTGAGCTGGTGAACTGGAAGGCAGCCTGAAACCCTTGCCAGCCTGAAGAGGGGCATCCCTGCAGCGGCTGAGGGTGCCAGGGGCATGGGGTGAGGAAGCTGACAAGGAGGCACGAGTCAGGAGCCCCCAGAGACTGCCCGCCCAGGGGGTGAGCAGAGGGGGCTGGGGACGGCAGGCCCTGGCCTGGGCTGACCCAGAGCCACAGGGACACCCTGACCTCTTGAGCCATTTTTCGGCCCCAAGAGGGACCAGAGAGGGGTTGCTGCTGTAATTCCAAGGGAGGGGTTCCCTCGGGACACCCCTTATACAGGAGGAGGAGTGGGGGCAATAGAGCCCCCCAGCCTGCTTCATGCCTGCCCTCTAGAGGCTGCTCTGCGGCCAGCGCCCACACCACACCCATGCCGGGCATTTCCCCAGACAGAGCTGTGGCAAAGGAGACACCCTCCTCTCCCGGCCCATCAGGAAACCCCCAATAAAACACCCGAGAAAGTCCCAGCTGGAGGCTGGGGGCCTGAAGTGAAAGGACGGGGCTGGGAGGGAGAGGGGTCTCAGCTGTACAGCCCTCGGGTCAGGAGGATTCTCATTCCTTGGACTGAAAGACAGAGAGACAGATGGACCCTGCATCCCCATTAGCCTTGCATTCCAGGCTCCCCAAGTTGCTTCCCCAAGTTCCAAGTCATTTGAGGAGTTGCAGGAGGTGTGGCCACAGGCTCCAGGCCCCGGGGACGGGGCGGCCTGGGCCCTGTTCCCACACCTGCACACAGGCATATATGTACAGGGACACACTGACACAGACACGTACAAGCCCACAGCAAGCATGCACCCATGCCCATAAATACACACACACGCACGAACATGTACCACTCCACAGGCGGGCTCTGCATCCTGGCATCACAGGTAAACATCTGAGGGGGCTTCCGAGAGGGGGCATCCCACCCTGCCCACAGCTGCAGGCTCTCACCGCACCCTGGCCCTGGGCTGGCAGTGAGGGGGGCAGCAGCAGGCTGTTTCAGGGACTCTGAACATGAGAGCAGGATCCTATGACTACAACAGTCATTGCTACCCTCTCTCCCCCTCCCCCTGTGCCAGAGATGCTCCTTGTCCCCATATCCATCCCCTTCCCCTCCTCCTTCCTTTAATAAAAGAATGGGGCAGCCCAGATGAAAACTACTTTTTCCAGCTTCCCTTGCAGCTACTTGTGGCCATGTGACTAAGTCCTGGCCAGTGAGATGCGATCAGAAGTGACTGTGCCATCTCTGGCTTATGCTCTTAACAGAAAGGGTGTGCGCTTCCCATGCCTTTTTCTGCTTCCCCAGGACATGCAGCCACATGTGATGGTGGGAACTGGAGCAACCACTCTATCCAGAATGGGAAGCTGTGATGAAAGAAGGCAGAGCTGCCCTATGAGATCCAGACCATCTCCCTTTAAAGAGTTAAGTTAGAAACAAGCTTCTGTCTTGCTTAAACCACTGTACTCTGGGGTCTCTAGTTACAGCAGCTTAGAATCTACTCTGAAAAATACATCCCCTGCCCCTGTGAGGCAAACTAAGGAATGAGATGACATACAACTGGCTTTAAGGTCCCCCTTGGGCCCAGGGCATCCTAGTGGCCCTTTCCTGGCCCCTAACCAGCCCCAAGAAGGGGCACATGGGTGACTCCACCTGAGACAGTGGAAAGCTGGGGCTGTGGGTTCCAGTGGGAAGGGGTGATGGGGAGCCTCCTCCCCAGAGGTCTGACCTACTAAGCTGGCTGATGGTCCCATCCCGCCCTGAGAACTGAACTCCTGGCCTTACAAAGATTGGGTGGGCAGCCGACAAGACAGTGAGATATAAAGTAAGAAGGAATGTCAAGGCCAGGTTTGGAACCAAAGGCTTCCCCAGGCCCCACACCTGTGTCAGCTTGGGAGGGGCTAGGGAGCACAGGCACCATCCCGCACAGTGTGTATGTGGGGCAGGTGGGTGGCGTTCCTGCTCCCTCCGGCCCAGAACTCCTGAGGACACTAGAGAGCACCCATCAGCTGGATGCCACTTTTCATGCTCTCCCACCTGGGTGTCCCCTCTTCCTCCTGGACCCAAATGCACCTATTTACAGAGCCCTGGGATCTCCTGGCATCCACCCTTTCCCACTACGGGTCCAAAGCCCCAGGAGGCCAAATGGTAGGCTTCTCCTCAACAGGAAGGCAGCTCTGCTCAGCTGCCCCGGTAGTTCCTGCAGGCTCCCTTCCCCACCCTGCCCGCCCTCCCCTGCTCCCCAGTAACCGTCATGCACTCTCTGTTGGCCCCTCCTGGCCATAGCACTCTTAGTGAGTGGAAGGGCCTGCTCTCCTCTCCTGACAAGGATGTTTTCTGAGCCCACAGGCCTGACCCTGGATTCACAAGGGCCGGAGGAGGGAAGACTCCCCTGCCCATCCATGCAGGGTCCTCACAAGAACCACCCAGACTGCAGAAGGAGGCAGAAAGGTAACAAGAGGGGCAGCCGTGACCCTGACTCTGCTGTAAGATCATGCACCCTAGCCTTCAACCACGTCCAACTTGCCCCTGGCCAGTGGCCTTCCCTCAGGACCCTTGTTCCTCCGCCCACCTGCCGCTGTGCTCTTGGGTTCCTGGTAGGGGTTGTCCAGCAGGTAGCGGAACTGGTCATAGTTCTTGAGCAGGTACTTAGGGGCGTACATGTGTTCGCTGGGGTTGGCCGGCGGGTACTCCTGCTGTGTGCCGTCGAACCAGCCCCCCGTGCGGATCAAGCCCCGGATGTAATTGAGGTCCCGCTTGTCCTCGTAGTCACCCCAGCGGGGGAAGTCGCCGTTCTGGGCGGACACGAGCTTGAAGTAGATGCCCTCGGGCGTGAAGCACCAGGAGCAGTGCCAGCCGGCGAAGTGCAGGGGGCTGCCCAGAGACCACTGCACCAGGATGTGGCCCGTGCGGTTCTCGTACTGGCGGAAGTTGGGCATCGTGTAGTACTGACGGCGGCGCAGGCGGATGCCGTCCAGCCCGTACACCGTCTGCAGCATGTCCACCGTGCAGCCCGACACCACCTCCAGGGTGCCCGGCTGCTTCCAGAAGAAGCCGTACAGCGACTTGCGCATGTGGAAGGCGAAGGGCTCCGTCCAGCCGTCGTAGAGCTTGAGGAAGAGCACGCCGTCGCGCGCGGGGATCTCGTCGGCGTCGTCGATGATGAAGACGTCGTCGGGCCGCAGGTTGCGCAGCCGCGACACGCCGTCCTGCGTCAGGAAGGTGCGCAGGTAGTCGTCGGCGATCCAGCCGTCCTGCCGCCCGCCCAGCGGGAAGTGGTCCAGGAAGACGTAGAGCACCTTGTGCCGGATGTACTCGAAGGTGCCGTTGGTCAGCATCTCGCGGAACTTGAGCGGCCGCGGCTCCCCGTAGGCGGTGAAGTTGGACTCGCACACCACGAAGGCGTCCACCACGTCGCCCAGCTCGTGGAAGCGCACGTCCAACAGGTCGAACTCGTGGTTGATGTTGATGGCGTTGATGACCCGCCGCGGCACCTCCCTGGGCACCAGGCGCTCCTTGGTGGGCAGGTTGGAGTACTGCACCACGGTGGGCACGCCGCAGCTCGGCCCGTGCCAGCCCGGCAGGCACACGCACTCCACCCACTTGC